TTATAACAAAAATTTTGACACATTCAAGGAAATGAATGGGCTTCATTAAGCTGCGATTGCGAAATCAAAACAAAAAAAAATTACTTTAGTGCAAATCAACAAAATTTGAAGAAACATCAAAACACTCAAAAATCAACAAACCCTAAGAGATTGAGAGATAGAGAGAGAGAGGTTATTGCAGGGAAATGCTACATATTTTTAAATCAAACAGACAGTGACTCTTCACCCCCTCGCCTCCTACCAAAACCCTAGGCGCCATTAATAACCACCCATGGTTCCGCGCGCCCACAAATGCAAAAAATTATAGAAATAAATCTGAGAACATAAAAACAACGAAATTACCATCAAAATATAGATCTCGACGAGAGGAATCCAACGGTGGGTAGCCCGTCAAATTTCGAAGGGTGGAACACAAAATACACCTCCGGCAAGACCATCGTCGTCGAATAAAAAAAAATTGCAGAAATATATCTGCGCTCGAAACTGAATGAAATCACCACCCAAAAGAAAGAGCTTGATGAGAGGAATCCAACGGTCGTTAAACCATCAAATTCCGACCACCGAAGAGAGAGTTATGACTCCGGGAAGCAATTTCGCCGGTGGGAGGTTTGTGGAGGCGGGATTTTGAATTTGGGAGAAGAAGAGAGACCGAAATGTGAGTGCTAGGGTTTAAAACTGATTTTAGGAGGGTATTATAGGAACTTCAGGGTGGCTCAGGAGGGTATGTAAAAATATTTTCGAAATAAGGGGGGTTTCCCCTATAGTCAATGTTTTGAAACCCGGACCGGACCGGCCGGTCCGCGAACCACGGCCTTGTCCGGTCCAGTTGGCACAATAAACCTGGATTTTTGGCCGGTCGAACCGCAAACCCGGAAACCGGTTAAAAACTGGTTTTTTGTGAAGTCAATAATAGACCTGAGTAGGGGTGTGAACGAGCCGAGCTCGCCTCTTTTGGCTGGCTCGAGCTCGAGCTCGAGTCTATTTTGTCGAGTTCGAGCTCGTCGAGTTCTTCTTTTTTTGGCTCGAGCTCGAGCTCGTGTTAATTTTGTCGAGCTCGAGCTCGAGCCCGATCTCTTTTTTTCTTTTTTTGTTAAATATTTTTTAATTATTATTTTATTATTAAAAATTATTTTTAAAAAATACAAAATAAAAACTAAATTGTGATTATATATATTTTTTAATATTTGTATTTATTTCTATAATATTTTATATTATTATACATTGTTTAAATAAAAATGACATATAAAAAATAAAAAATAATAAAAGAATAATAATAATAATTCCGGCTCGCGAGCTGATGAACAACTAAAATCTGGCTCGAGCTCGGCTCGTCAGAAAGCTCGAGCTCGCGAGCTCGAGCTCGAGCTCGAAAACCTCGAGTCCGAGTTCGAGATTTTTACGAGTCGGCTCGGCTCGTTTACCACCCCTATATCTGAGTAAGGTAGGGGAGGAAGAAGAAAAAAAACAAAAATTGAAGAAAATCGGTCAAAATTGCCGCTAAATTAGGCAGAGGGCTTGGGTAGCGCTAGTTCTCAGGCTAAATCATGACTCTCGAGATGTTGGGTCGATCTCCAATGGTGGCTTGATGGGTGGTGGTGATTGGGGAAGAAAGAAGCAACAGTCAGACGGCATGGAAAAGAGAAAAATAAGGGCTTTATGTTTGAGGTGGGTTGGTGGGCAAATATATTTCTTAGACGGGAGATGTTCTTCATTGTATTTTATTTTAATTTATTATAGTATATTAGTATAGTGACGGTGATTAATGAAATAAAAAAATAAAAAAAGGAAAATTTAAAACAGTATAAAAAAATATATTAATATTAATTTTAAATATAAATTAAATTATTTACTGTTTTGTAGCCTGTAGATGTTTAATAAATTATTAATAACTGTTGAATATAAATTAATGATGAATATTAAAATACATTTTATGAAGAAAATATATTATAATTATTTACAAATAATTAAAAATAGAAAATATTAAAAAAAAACCTGGTTGGACCCCGGTTGAACCGGTCCAACCACGACCCAATAGGCTATCCGGTTCTATGTCAGATCCGGTTTTCAAAACATTGCCTAGAGTGTAATCCACTTGGTAGTTAGTTCTATATAATTTGGAAATGAGGGGTCTACAAAATAATCCCTTACTTTAATAGAAGTAAACCCTCTTTGTTGTTTGCATTTGAGAGACCCTTCAATTTTAAAGGAAAAAAAAAGTCCACTCCATAAACCAAAATTGGAGTTACAATTAAAAATTAGAGTTAAATGGTTAGAGATAATTTTGTCATGTACATTAATTTTGTATTTATTTATAATACATAAAAATCCATAAAATTCCTCACATAATTTATAATTAGACGTTCCCAATCAAGAAACATCATGATTCAACTCTTGTTAACACACCAGCTAGCCAAACTCCGGCGGGTCCATCGGACAATCTAGCGTTGCAAGATAAACGCTCGACGGTGGGAAATAATGTCCTCCAAACCCTCAGCAATCTCAGTAACATGCATCACATAATGCTTGCAATTTTTTTTGTGCAGAATCTAGAGAATCCAGTGTTCATTTATATAGAGTATTTACGAGTTCTTAACAATCAATACATGGATAATGTAAAAAGTTTGAGTAGAGGTAAGCTGTAGTTGCCATTATTAGGGTTTGAAATTTTTTGGGTATGTTGTTATTGTGAATGTATTAGCATGTGATTTGATCGACTGATTCAATATTAAAAGTTCAGTTTGTTGTCTGTGGAAGTAATGTTGCTCCTCAATCCAAACCACGTTATTTCTTCGTGTGATGTGTGTCTTCGTTTGAAATGAGCTTCTACAATTGTTCATATATTCACAACAACAATCATTTAAGGTCACTTGATTTATCTAACAAATTTTATATTGTAGAACAACATACAAATGTCTAATAACATGTCCCACTATTTTTTCATAAACATCTTAATTTTTTTAAAATAAGTTATTTATGTTTATAGATTTTTTTTTAAAAGAGTATATATACCCAATTTTTTTTCTTCACATCTTAATAACAGTAAAAACAATTTATAAGTTGTATCATCTCAACTTTTAAAATATTAACTTTTAGAATAAGTCGTAACAACTGATCATCTATTAAAATAATTTATTAGATGTAAGCGTTTATCACATGTTAACCGAGAAAACTATTATACTTCACATGCGAGGGTTGTTCCCCTCTATTCGAGTTATGCTACTAGCCGTCGACGACTTGGATGATCACGATAGTGTCATGCAAACTAAATGCAATCCCTATACTCTAGTGAGCTTCGCCAATCATGTCGTGCAATGAGTTCTCCCTGTCCGCATAAAAGTAGGCCACCCGATCCTAGCCGTGGTACAAACATTTTGACCCTATTCACGAATTTGCGTCATGGTATTCGCTTTCACCGCCTATCTTATCCTATGTGGGGATGGTGACCACTTGAGTTGTGACCTAAATCAGTCGCTTGATGAAATAACGTTTGAGTTTGGATCTGGGCCTTTAATATATAGTCCAAACCAAATCCTTTAAGTAATTAGAAAAGTGAGCCCATATCAATAAATATTTTATTAAGGTTTAAACTTTAAATAAAAAACACATATGTACTATGAACTTTGTATCATATACCCCCTGTACTACATATAAATACAAAAGCTCCCCTACTGTTACATTTTTCCCAAAATCTGACGAAAATACCCCTACTAAAGCATATATATACGTAAGGGTTTGTTTGAGACATTTTCCATTATATTTTTTTACCATTTTCAGTCCATTTTACCTGGGAAAGTTTGGTATTATATTTTTTTCTCTAAATCATCTAATTGCTTAAATTATTTTAATTTTCAGAATAAAACATTTTATTTTTATTATTTTGAGTTTTTTAATTTTTTTCCTTAAGTGTCTTCCGATAGTTCAAACATCATAAGATTACAAACATTTTACAATCCTATGATTGTTCGGAATTTAAACTACCAAAAGACATTTAACAAAAAAATGAAGAAATTCAAAATGACAAAAATAAAAGGTTTTATTCATAAAATGAAAAAATAAAAAATCAAAGCAATTAGATGTTTTTTAGAAAAAAAATAAAAATACAAAAATTTCCCAAGTAAAATTGACCGAAAATGTCAAAAATATATTGGAAAATGGCTCAAACAAACTCTTATATTTATATGCTTTAGCAGTAGTATTTTCGTCAGATTTTAGAAAAAAATGTAACAATATAGGAATTTTTGTATTTACGTGTAGGCGTATAGCACAAGGAGTATATGATACAAAGTTCATAGTACATAGGTGTTTTTGTATTTAACCCTATTTTTAATCTACTCTTGTAAGTGTAACTTATCGAATAAAAATATATATATTTAAACCTGATTGTTATTATGTTAACAAACTAACTTAACTAATCTTTAACAAAAAAATATAGAATTAAGTATCAAATGATTTAGGGTAAATTACAATTACCCATGAGGTATGGTCAATTAACGAAAAAACCCCTCTTGTTTATATCTACCCTCTTCAAGTGTAATTTTTTCTTACACCTCCACCCTTATGAGGTCAAATTCAACATACTTTCATCTAAATTTCGTGGAATGTGCTATAGTTTTGTGTAAAAATACAGTTTCTGATGCACCACAATCTGATATATCCAAGTAAAAAAACACATACTACGATCATCTTGCTTCAAAATATGGAATTCGAATGTGATAAAACGAGTACAAAAGTGATAATATTCTATATATTTGATAGTCAAAATCTTCAATCGTCTCTTGTTACACGTGAAAAGCAAACCTTAAAGAAAAGGTCAAAGCCCATTCGAGCACTGGATTTGATTATCAGCAAATGTATTTAATTTAATATTATTTTTTACCATTTTCATTTAATATAAATTACGAAATGAGTACGATATCCAAATTCCAAGAGCCAACTATAGCAAATGGAAAAATATATATAATAATAATTAATTTAGTATAAAATGAGTCCAACTACTCTCTCTCTCTACTCTCTCTCATAAAATTCATTAAACCTCAGCCCCCAAAACCCTGAAAACCCAGAGCAAGGAAAACCCCACCGTCGCAAATTTCTGGTTTTGACATTTAATCAAACAGTTGGGCTGCGATTCCCGCATTTCATCGATCGGTAATACATCAATACATTTGATTATGCGCATCTTTGATATATGTTAATGAATCATATCACATGCGATTGAATTTGTGTATACTTCGGTTTATGAATGTTTACGTATCTTACAATTTCGGATTTCTAAACGTGGAATTTTTTTATGGGTTATTGTCGTATAATTATTTGAAATTATTTGTTATTTGGGTTAATCAATTGTGTGCTGTATCTGATGGTGTTGCGAACATGAATGGAAACTGGAAAAAATCAATTGATTTTCTGTTGTGCTTTGACCATGAAATGGCGGTGAATGAGAATCTTGGATTGTTTATCTTTAGTTTGTTTGAAAGAGAAAGGCGGTGAATGAGAATCTTGGATTGTTTATCTTTAGTTTGTTATTTGGTCTACACACATTTCGTAATGTAATTTATCTTTTTTGTGTTCCTGGTTTCTTGTACATTTCTAATTGGCTGGAAACTCAGTGCTTGTTAACTAACTTCAAATGTGTGTATTTCTTGATATAAGGATCCCGAGATGGGGGGAAAGTCAAATAGAGGGAAGAATCGTAAAGGGTTGCAGCAAAGCGCTCCGAATTCTGCAGAGCAGTCGGTCTCTTCTGATCCCGTAAATGATAGTTCCAGTGACGTACATGTTAATGCTAATGAAGATATAGATTTGAGCGAATCGGTGGAAGTACAGTCAGAGGTGAAGGAACAGGATAATGAATCCCAAGAGCATCTTGAGAAGCAAGGTGAGGTTATTGATATTTTATTTTTTGGCACGGGGGGAATTTCTTCGCAATCAACTTTTTCAAGCTTTTGAAAACTTATTTCATTTCTGCTTGTTGGTTGGAACTTGAAATTTAACACTATCATTTGCATAACGTTTTATTGAGTAAATAAATTGACAATAGAATATTATCAGATTAGGATCTTAAATTTCCTATCTTCCAACATGTTTGCTATT